GCAGAATTCTACCAGAACTTCCAAGAAGAGCTGATACCTATACTCCTTAAGGTATTTCACAATATAGAAACAGAAGAGTCATTGCCAAACTCTTTTTATGAAGCTACAGTTACCCTGATACCAAAACCACATAAAGTCACAACCAAGAAAGAGAATTACAGGCTAATCTCACTCATGAACATTGATGCAAAAATTCTCAACAAAATCCTGGCAAACTGATTCCAAGAACACATTAGAAAAATTATCCATTATGATCAAGTAGGCTTCATTCCAGAGATGCAGGGCTGGTTCAACATACGCAAATCTATCAATGTAATCCATCATATAAATAAACTGAAAGAAAAAAGCCCTATGATCATTTCATTAGATGCTGAAAAAGCATTTGACAAAATCCAACATCCCTTTATGATAAAGGTGTTGAAGATATTGGGGATACAAGGATCATACCTAAATATAATAAAAGCTATTTACAGCAAGCCAACAGCTAACATCAAACTGAATGGAGAGAAACTCAAAGCCATTCCACTAAAATCAGGAACACGACAAGGCTGTCCACTCTCCCCATACCTCTTCAATATAGTGCTAGAAGTTCTAGCAATAGCAATACGACAACATAAGGGGATCAAGGGGATTCAAATTGGAAAAGAAGAAGTTAAACTCTCGTTATTTGCAGACGATATGATAGTATACATGAGCGACCCCAAAAACTCTACCAAAGAACTCCTACAGCTGATAAACACCTTTAGTAATGTGGCAGGATACAAGATCAACTCCAAAAAATCAGTTGCCCTCCTATACACAAAGGATAAAGAAGCAGGGAGGGAAATCAGTGAAACTTCACCTTTCACGATAGCCACAAATAGCATAAGATATCTTGGGATAACTCTGACCAAGGAAGTGAAAGACCTATTTGACAAGAACTTTAAGTCTTTGAAGAAAGAAATAGAGGAGGATACCAGAAAATGGAAAGATCTCCCTTGCTCTTGGATTGGGAGGATCAACATAGTAAAAATGGCAATTCTACCAAAAGCAATCTATAGATTCAATGCAATCCCCATTAAAATCCCATCAAACTTCTTCACAGGCCTTGAGAGAACAATAATCAAGTTTATATGGAAAAACAAAAAACCCAGGATAGCCAAAACAATCTTATATAATAAAGGAACTTCTGGAGGTATAACCATCCCTGACTTCAAACTCTATTACACAGCTACAGTATTGAAAATAGCTTGGTACTGGCATAAGAACAGAGAAGTCGATCTATGGAATCGAATAGAAGACCCAGATATTAACCCACAAACCTATGAACACTTGATTTTCAACAAGGGGGCTAAAGGTATGCAATGGAAGAAGGAAAACATCTTTAACAAATGGTGCTGGCACAACTGGATGTCAACCTGTAGAAGAATGAAAGTAGATCCATATCTATCACCATGCACAAAAATCAAGTTCAAATGGGTTAAAGACCTCAACATTAATTGGACCACTTTGAACCAGATAGAAGAGAAAGTGGGAAATAGTCTACAAGATATAGGCACAGGAGGCCACTTCCTAAGTAGAACCCCAGTAGCACAGACAATAAGAGAATCAATGAATAAATGGGACCTCCTAAAACTGAGAAGTTTCTGTAAAGCAAAGGACACTGTCAGTAAGACAAAAAGGCTGCCTTCTGACTGGGAGAAGATCTTCACCAACCCCTCATCAGATAAAGGCATGATCTCCAAAATATACAAAGAACTCAAGAAACTAGACACTAAAACTCTAATTAACCCAATTAAAAAATGGGGTGCTGATCTGAACAGAGAATTCTCAACAGAAGAACTCCGAATGGCCAAAAGACACTTAAGGTCATGCTCAACATCCTTAGCGATCAGGGAAATGCAAATCAAAACAACTATGAGATACCATTTTACATCGGTCAGATTAGCTAAAGTCAAAAACACCAATGATAGCCTATGCTGGAGAGGATGTGGAGAGAGGGGAACTCTCATCCATTGTTGGTGGGAATGCAAACTTGTGCAGCCACTGTGGAAATCAGTGTGGCGGTTTCTCAGGAAACTGGGAGTCAATCTCCCTCAAGACCCAGCAATTCCACTCTTGGGAATATACCCAAGAGATGCCCTATCATACCACAAAAGCATTTGTTCAACTATGTTCATAGCAGCACTATTTGTAATAGCCAGAACCTGGAAACAACCTAGGTGCCCCTCAATAGAAGAATGGTTAAAAAAGGTGTGGAACATATATACACTAGAGTTTTATTCAGCGGTAAAAAACAATGACATCTTGAATCTTGCATGCAAATGGATGGACATAGAAAACGCTTTACTGAGTGAGGTAAGCCAGACCCAAAAAGAGGAATATGATATGTATTCACTCATAAGTGGATTCTAGCCATAATTAAAGGTCTTTGAGCCTATTATTCGAGATCCTAGAGAAGCTAAATAAGAAGATGAACCTGAAGAAAATCATGTACTTATCCTCCTGGAGATTGGAAATAGACATGAGTCCCAGGTAACCTCGGGTGCATGGGGGGGGGGGTGGGAGAGTTGTTGGAAGGGGAGAGGGTTAGAGAGAAGGGAGTAGGGGAGGAATGGGGAAAACTCGGGGGACTGAGATGGGGGGAGGGAGGAAGGATGGATATGGGATCAGGGAAGAATATATCTCAACTAAGGGAGTCATTTTAGGGTTTACAAGAGACTTGATTATAAATGGGATCCCAGGTCCAAGGAGAGATCCCCAGATTGTTCTCTGGACAGAGGAGAGGGTGCCTGAACCAGCCTTGGCCTATAACCATACTGATGAAGATTTTGCTTATCACCATAGATCCTTCATCCGACGATGGATGGCGATACAAACGGAAACCCACATTGGAGCACCGGACTGAGCCCCCCATGGTCCAAATGAGGAGCAGAAGGAGGAAGAACATGAAAAAAAAACTCAGGACCGCGAGGGGTGCGATCACCCACTGATACAAGGGGACTGATCTAATGAGAGTTCACCAAGGCCAGTTGGACTGGGACTGAACGAGCATGTGATCCAACCAGATTTTCTGAATGTGGCCGGAGCCTTTCTGAAAAGCCATTGACAATGACACTGGGACTTGTTTCCTCTGCATATACTGGATTTTTGGGATCCAGTCTGTTTGGATACTCACCTTCCTGGACCTGGAGGGAGGGGGGAGAAACTTGAACTTCCCTTAGTTCAAGACTCCTCTTAGGGATGGAGAGGGAGGAGGAGGGGGAGGGGGGAGTGGGAGGGTGTGGGAGGAGGGGCGGAAATGGAAACTTTCATAATTTAATAAACTTTGAAAAAAATTTTTAAAAAAAGGAGTACAGACCTAAACAAAGAACTCTCAACAGACTAATCTCAAATGGCTGAAAGATAACTAAGAAAATGCTCAGTCTTCTTAGCCATCAGAGAAATACAAATCAAAACAACTCTGAGATTCCATTTATAAATGTCAGAATTGTCAAGATAAAAACGCTGATGACAGCTTATGCTGGATAGGATGTGGGGTAAGTGGAACACTCTTCTATTGCCGGTGGGAGTGCAAACTTGCACAGCAGCTTTGGAAATCGGCATGGCAGTTTCTCAGAAGACAGTTCTTAGAGGCAAGTTCATAATACTAAGTGCCTAAATACAAACTGGAGAGATCTTAGCAGCACATCTCATAGCTCTAGGACAGAAAGAAGAAATTACACAACAAAACATCAAGAAATAATCAAGTTCAGGGACTTGGGTTCAAGTCACATATGGTGGCTCACAGATTATAATCTTCTGGGGACTGACTCACTCTTCTGGCCTCCAGGGGAAGCAGGCACACAAGGGGGTTCACAGATATTCCTTCAGGAAAAATGCCAATGCACATTCCTTTTTAAGTTATTAGGGGAAAAATATGGGATAATGATAAATTCTCTGAAACTATTTAAGATCCTTGAACTATATAAAACCTGAGTTAAATGTATTTACAAATTTGAACAATCAAAATAGCTTAAAAAATCATACTAGGAGGGGTATTAGTAAAATCAATTATTTCTGTGTTATATTTGTCTTACTTTTGAATAGGACTATTTTCTTGAATGTAAGTACATGTAACACGTGTGTGTCTGGTACCCGCAGAGGTCAGAAGATGGCATAATTCTAGGACTGAGTTATGGATGGTTATGAATGGTTGTATCCCACCACGTGGATGCTGGGGCATAGAGTCGGGTCTTATAGAGGAGTAGCAAGTGCCATTCATGGGGAGACGTCTTTACAGAGCCTTGAATAATATACAAACATACGTATATATGACATATGATCAATTTCTACAAATGTACCAAAGACCAACCTTTAGATACAATATTGAATTAATTACTGAAGAAATCGTATAGTAGGAGATGTACTAACAAATACAGGATTGGTAGGTGAACTGAGGGAAAAAGAAAGCAATAGTAAAGCAATAAGCCTGGCTGTGAACTTTTATTAATAGAGCTGGTGAGAGGACTGTGTGCCAAATATGTGGTTGACTTTTCTCTGTTTGAAATGAAATCTAAAGGGCAACAGGTTATAGTTCATAGTCCTAATCTCTGAAAGTCAGTGATAATCTTTCTCTTGGCATAAATCTTGTTCCGATGGTATAAGATGATAGTTGGTCTCCTGAATCCCTGTGGGAGAGAGGAGCAGCCAGAGAAGATGGCTGTCAGCACATTCAGCAGGACCTGCAGACACAGGGAGTTGGTGACTAACTGGGATACAGTGGATGAAGAACTGATTTATTGTACTCAGATGAAGTCAAAATGAGAGGCTGGAACATTTTCCCTGAATAAAGGAAGCCAAAAGTGCACCTCGGTGTTTCATAACATCACTGAATAATGTAGGTGTAACCTCACTGTGTGTCAATTCCTTACTTTCCCAGTTTGCAACATGACCTTTAGGACTGATCCCAGTTCATCTATGCTAAACATACGCGGCTGCCCAGAGCATACCCCGCCCCTCTCTCAGCTCTGCCCTGTACTCTCTCCCCTTCACAGACTTCTAACTCCAGGAACCATGTCTACCAAAACCACCATCAGGAGTCAAAGCAGCCACCGTGGCTTCAGTGCCAGCTCAGCCAGAGCTCCTGGGCTCAACCGCTCTGGCTTCAGCAGTGTGTCTGTGTGCCGCTCCCGGGGTAGCGGCGGCTCTGGGGCTGTGTGTGGAGGAGCTGGCTTTGGCAGCAGAAGCCTCTATGGTGTGGGGAGCTCCAAGTGGATCTCCATCGGAGGGGGCAGCTGTGACAGATGACCTGCTGTGCCCCTGCCTCACTCTGCCCCCATCTCCAAGGGACTGAGCAGATCCTAGTGTAACTCTGCTTCATTTCCCCCTCTTGTGGACCCACATCCTCTCCAGGACATCTCTGTTCCTAAGTATCAGTGCCGAATACCTAGAAACACATTTTCTTGGAATCCCCAGTGGTCTCACCTAGAAGAACCCAAGAAGAACTGCCTAAAAGGCAACACACAGCCATCATGTCCTCCTAAGGTCCAGAGAGGGTGACAGAAACCAAAGAGCAACAAACCCTATCAATAAAAGTAAGACAAGATATCATTACCTAGAATTAGAATCATTCCAAACCAAGATGCCTAGATGCTAGCACAAAAGCTCAGTCAATAACAGCCATGACAGCATGTCTCCTCAAGAGTTCAGGAACCCCACCCCAGCAGGTCCTGAGAGCGGAAACATAGCTGAAGCGCAGGACAGATATCTTAAAATAGCCTTTGTGGCTACGGCAGAGGTCCTTAAAGAGGACACGACTCAACCCCTTATAGAAAGCTATAGGAACACAAACAAACAGGGGAAGGAGATCAATAAAACAGCTCAAGACCTAATAGGGAAAATGGAATCAATGAAGAAAACTCAAACTGAGTAAATCTGGAAATGAAAAATTTTGGAAATCAGAGAGTAACCTCAGAGGCAAGCCTCACCAACAGAATACAAAGATGGAAGAGAGAAACTCAGTCATTGAAGACATGACAAAGGAAACAGATATCTTGATAAAAGAAAGTGTTAAATATTAAAATATCCTGGTACAAAACATTCCAGAAATCTGGGACACTATGAAAAGATCAAATCTGTGAATAATTGTAGTAGAGGTAGGAGATGATACCCAGGTCAAAGGCACAGAAAATATTTCAACAGGACTGAACCAGCAACCTGCGCCAGAGCAGGCCTCGGACAATGAACTCCACAAGAGTAGGAGTGGATCCATACCAGGGTCATTTCTGGAAGCAGGACTGAGTCAGCTATCTAGGCTGGAGTGGGCCTGAGAAAGTGAACTCCACAGGAACAGCTACAGGGGAGAAACCACCGAGCAAGTGAGTCAGAGCCAGAGACCATTGTGGTCCGGATGTGAATCTGGGATCTTCAAGGGAGTAGACCTGAGCTAGGACACCTGTGTGTCTGGGTGTGAGTATAGGACCTCCCAGGAACTAGGCCTGAGCCAGGACCTCTGCCAGTCTGGGCATGAATCTGGAACCTCCGAAGGTGTAGGCAGGAACCATAGATCTCTGTGGGTTCAGGCCTGAGTCTGGGACCTCAGAGGGAGTAGGCCTGAGCTAGTACCTCTGAGACATCAAAAGAAATTGAAAGGAACCAGAAACTTCTGCGGATCAGAGCCTGAGTCTGGGATCTCTGAGGGAGTAAGCCTGAGCCAGGTCCTCTGCAGGTCTGGGCGCACTCCAGTCTGGGAACTCCGAAGGAGTACATCAGAGCCAGAGTTCTTTACAGGACCAAGTAGGGACCTCTGCAGGTAGATATCCAGACCAGGGACATTTACAGAAACAGGTCTGAGCCGACAACCTAGACTAGAGAAGGCCTGAGACAGCAAACTTCAAGGGAGTGGAGCAAAGCCCAGGAGCGCTGAGTGACCTTCAGGAACATGGAGTGACCAACGGGGTAACTAGGACCGTGGCACTGACTGTACCATGAGGAAAAACCATGTGAGCTATGGACTTACTGGCACCTAGAATATTTATTAAGAGAATTATAGACAGCCCCCCACCACACCTATTAGAGGAAAAGATGAGTAGACAAGGTAAAAACACACGCAACACCACAAAGAGCAACACGGCACCAGTACAACCTAAAGACCCTATAATAGCAGGACCTGAACAACCAAATATGGATGAAGCAGAAGAAAATGACCTAAAAATAACTTCAAGGGAATGTTTGAAACTCTTAAGGAGGAAATGAGAAATTCCCTCAAAGAAATAGAGGAAAAGACAAACAAAAAATTGGAAGACACAGCAAATTCCTTAAAGAAAACAAAGAAAAAGAAATCAAACATGTGAAAGAAACTATTCAAGACTTGAAAATTGAAATAGAGACAATAAAAAAAAACACAAGCCTAGAAAATTATAGAAACAGGAATCATGAGAAAGCGAACAGGAACCACTAAAGCAAGCATAAACAGCAGAATACAAAAGACGGAAGAGAGAATCTCAAGCTCTGAAGATACAATAGAGGAAATAGACTCATCAGTCAAAGAAAACATTAAATCTAACAAAAGCTTAACCCAAAATATCCAGGAAATATGGGACACCATGAAAAGACCAAATCTAAGAATAGTGAGTCTAGAAGAAGGAGAAGTTTAACTCAAAAGCACAGAAAATATATTTAACAAAATCATAGAAGAAAACATTCCTAACCTAAAAAAAGATATACCTGTGAAGATACAAGAATTTTACAGAACACCAAATAGACTGGATCAAAAGAAAAAAGTTCTCTCACCACATAATAGTCAAAACACTAAACATACAGCGTAAATAAATAATTTTAAGAGCTGTAAAAGGAAAAGAGCCAAGTAACATATAAAGGCAGACCTATCAGAATTTCACCTGACTTTTTATTGGAGACAATAAAAGCCAGAAGGTCAAGCATTATGCAGACATTAAGAGACCACAGATGCCAGCACAGAATACTATACTCAGCAAAACTTTCAATCAGCATAGAAGAACAAAACAAGATATTCATGGAATCATGACAAAACCAGATTTAACCAATACCTAGCCACAAACCCAGCACTACACAAAATACCAGAAGGAAAACTCCAACCAAAGGAAGTTGGCTACATCAACAAAAACACAGAGATGGTCTCATGGCAGCAAATCCCAAAGAAGGGAAAAATACACAAATTAACAACACCAACAATGAAAACTAAATTAACAGGAGATAGCAATCACTGGTCATTAATATCCCTTAATATATATAAATGGACTCAACTCACCTATAAAAAGGCACAGGTTAACATTGGATATGAAAACAGAATCCATCCTGTTTCTGCATACAAGAAACACACCTCAACCCCAAAGACAGACATCATCTCAGATTAAAGGGTTGGGAAAAAATATTCCAATCAAATGGACCTAAGAACCAAGTTGGTGTAGCTCTCCTAATATCTAACAAAATAGACTTCAAACTAAAATCAATCAAAAGAGACAAAGAATGAGATTTCATATTAGTCACAGGAAAAAAATTCATCAAGAGAAAATCTCAATACTGAACATCTATGCCCCAAATACAAGGGCACCCTTATATGTAAAAGAAACACTTTTAAAGCTTAAATCATATATTAAACCCCACACACTAATTGTGGGAGACTTCAACAGTATACTCTCACCACTGGACAAGTCAGTCAGATAAAAAATAAACAGAGAAGTAAGGGAAATAACAGATGTTAGAACTAAAATGGACTTAACAGACATCTATAGAATACTCCATCCAAACATAAAAGAATATACCTTCTTTATAGAACCTCATGGAAACTTCTCAAAAATTGATCACATACTCAGTAACAAAAACAAACCTCACTAAATGCAAAAACATTGGAATAATGCCATGTATCTTAGCAGATCACCATGGTTTCAAACAAGAAGTTAACAGCAATACTAATGCCAGAAATTCCACAAACACATGGAAATTAAACAATGCTCACCTGAATCATCAATGGGTCAAGGAAGAAATAAAGAGAGAAATTAAAGACTTTCTAAAATTCAATGAAAATGACCACACAACATACCCAAATTTATGGGACACAATGAAAGCAGTGTTAAGAGGAAAGTTCATAGCACTAAACGCCTACATAAAGAAGCTGGCAAAAATCTCACACTAGTGAATTAACCGAACATTTGAAAACTTTAGAACTAAAAGAAGCAAACTCACCCAAGAGAACAAGAAGGCAGAAAATAATCAAATTGAGAGCTGAAATCAACAAAATAGAAACAAAGAAAACAATACAAAGAATCAATGAGACAAAGAGTTGTTTCTTGGAAAAAATCAACAAGATAGACGAACCTTTATCCAAACTAACCAAATGCAGAGAGAGAATACCCAAATTAGCAAAATCAGAAATGAAAAGGGGCACATAAAAACAGACACGGAGGAAACACAGAGAATCATCAGGTCATATTTTGAAAACCTGTACTTCATAAAACTGGGAAACTTAAAGGAAATGGACAACTTTCTGGATAAATATCACTTACCAAAATTAAATCAAGTCCAGATAAGCAAATTAAATAGATCTATAGCTGCTGAAGAAATAAAAACAGTCATTAAAAGTCTCCCAATCATAAAAAAGCCCAGGACCAGATGGTTTCAGCTCAGAATTCTACAAGATTTTCAAAGAAGAAATAATACCAATACTCCTCAAACTCTTTTTTTGAGGCTACAATTACCCTAATAACCAAACCACAGAAAGACATTACTAAGAAAGAGAATTACACACCAATCTCGCTCATAAACATCAATGCAAAGGTACTAAATAAAATACTGGTAAATCGAATTCAAGAACACATCAAAAACATCATCCACCATGATTAGGTCAGCTTAGAGATTGTTCAACATATGAAAATCTGTCAACGTAATCCACCATATAAACAAAGTGGAAAATAAAAACTACTTGATTATCTCATTAGAGGCTGAAAAGCTTTTGCCAAAATAAAATATCTCTTCATGATAAAGGTCTTGGAGAGAGCAGGGATACAAGGAACATACCTAAACATAATAAAGGCAATATACAGCAAGCCAACAGCCAACATCAAACTAAATAGAGAGAAACTCCCAGCCATCCCACTGAAATAAGGAATAAGACAAGGTTGTCCACTCTCTCCATATCTATTTAATATAGTTCTTGAGGTACTAGCTAGAGCAATAAGTCAACCAAAGGAGATCAAGTGGATACAAATCAGAAAGAAAAAGTCAAACATTCACTATTTGCTGATGATATGATAGTTTACATAAGTGACCCCAAAAATTCTACCAGGAACTTCTACAACTCATAAACACTTTCAGTAATGTAGCAGGATACAACGTTAACTCAAAAAAAATCAGTAGCCCTCCTATACACAGGTGATAAATGAGCTGAGAAATAAATCAGAGAATCAACACCCTTCACAATAACTACAACAGCATAAAATATATCTCAGAGTAACTCTGACCAAACAAGTGGAAGACCTGTATGACAAGAACTTTAAATCTTTGAAAAAAGAAATTTGAAGAAAACATCAGAAAGTGAAAAGATCTCCCATTCTCTTGGGTAGGTAGAATTAACATAGTAACAATGGCAATCTTATCAAAAGTCAATCTACAAATTCAATGCAATGTCCATAAAAATCCCAGAAAAATTCTTCACAGACCTCGAAATAACAATAATCAACTTTATATGGAAAAGTAAAAAAAACCAGGATAGCCCAAACAATCCTGTACAATAAAAGAACTTCTGGAGGCATCACAATCCCTGACTTCAAACTCTACTACAGAGCTACAGAACTGAAAACAGTGTAGTATTGGCATAAAAACAAACAGGAGGAACAATGGAACTGAATCAAAGACCACACACCTTTGAACACCTGATTTTTGCCAAAGAAGCAAAAAAATAAAATAAAATGAAAAAGAAAGGATATTTGACAAATGATCCTGGCATAACTGGATGTCAGCATGTAGAAGAATGAAAATAGATTCATATCTATCACCAAGCATAAAACTCAAGTCCAAATGGATCAAAGACCTCAACATAAAGCCAGCCACACTGAACCTCATAGAAGAGAAAGTGGGAAATACACTTGAATGCATTGGCACAGGAGACCACTTCCTAAATATAACCCCAGCAGCACAGACACTGACAGAAACAATTAATTAATAGGGCCTTCTGAAACTGAAAATCTTCTGTAAAGTAAAGGATGTGGTCAACAAGATAAAATAACAACCTACAGAATGGGAAAAGATCCTCACTAACCCCATATTAGACAGAGGTCTGAGTTCCAAAATATATAAAGAACTCAAAAAAATGGTCATCAAAAGAACAAATAATCCAATAAAAAATGGAGTACAGACCTAAACAGAGAACTCCCAACAGAGAAATCTAAAATGGCTGAAAGACACTTAAGAAAATGTTCAACATCCTTAGTCATCAGAAAAATGCAAATCAAAACAATTCTGGGTTTCCATTTTACACCTGTAAGAATGGCCAAGATCAAAAACACTGATGACAACTTATGTTGGAGAGGTTGTGAGGTAAAAAGAACACTTCTGCATTGCTGGTGGGAATATAAGCTGGTACAGCCCTTTGGATGTCAGTGTGGCAATGTCTCAGAAAATTAGGAAACAACCTTCCTCAAAACCCAGTAATACCACTTTTGGGTATATATCCAAAAGATGCTCAATTGTGCCACAATGACATGTGATCAACTATGTTCATAGCAGCATTGTTTGTCATATCCAGTACTTGAAAACAACCT